GCTGCTGCTGCTTTTGCTGGTGTTGGGGTTGGGGTTGGCGTTGGCGGTATCCTTGGCGTTGGTGTTGGGATTGGCGTTGGCGGTGGCGTTGGTGGTGGCGTTGGCGGTGGTGGTGGGGGTGGGGGTAGGGGTAGAGGTAGGGGTGAGGGTGGCGAGGGCGGGCACGGGGGCGGGTAGGTGTAGGTGCGGTTGCAGTATGTGGAGGCAGGACGCTGCGCAACTCAACCGACGATCTCGAATTTCGGAAGTTGCTAAACCCTCAGAGCGACGGCTTTAACACCAAGGATCGGCGTCTCTGGCGCACGCTGCCGCACTTCGCCACAGCGGGACCCGGCGAAGAGCCCGGGTGCGCCTACAGTACCGAATTTGCCTCGCAGGATCAAAGATCTAGTCAGCGTCAGAACCCAATGGCCAGAACCCAAGGGTGTTGCCACAGTGTTTCTTGGAATTATGAGGTGGCTGTGGGAATGGCGTGACACGACCTCACCCCAAAAAAATAATACAAGTTAAGCTAAAAGGCCCAGAGGATGGCCTTCGGCCCCCCTTTATTGGAAAAACCAGTGGATCTCAGTCTCTGGCTCGGTAGACTTCCGGTAGCTTGGGGATCCCCATCCCTGGCGGAGCCGCCCGGATCTTCGGACTGTGCTCTGACGAGCCTCTAGAGCTGGCCATCTATTCAAAACTACCAAAACCGTATAGCTTGCAAATCTGGAACCCAAAACTCTCCCCCCAAAGCCCTTATTGAAGAGCACTGGCTGAAGCAGCTGCGCCTGAAGGTCCGGCCGCCTCCTCTTCGGGGCGATTCGCTGTGACCATGTCGGCCCCGAGGCCTGCGCAGAGAAAGGACGTTAGTCCGTTAATTACCTCCCTGAACTCACCCTTGGGAGCATCTGCAGAGCAAGTTTTAAGCGTGAGCCTTGCATGGGCACCGGCTCCGGAGGCAGACCTCGTCCCCAACAGGGCTTAGGGTCTTCAACGGCAATCTGAGGCCCCTTCAACACCGAGGCCCGCACCGTCGACCTCACCCTTTAGGAAGGCGAGATACGCCTGCATCAGCGGCTCCTGCCAGAACGATCATGGCCGAGCTGCGGCTGTGCAGCCCAAACGGTTCGAGGCTTCTGTCTCAGCCCGGCCTGAGGGGCAGCGACCTGCTTCGTGATGGGCTCTGGCCTTGAGTCCCCACTGACATCCACTGACAGTGGGCTCTGGGCTGTCAAGGTGGACAGTCAGAAAGTCTGCTCAAAAAGCCGAGACGCGGGATCCGAATCGGCGCTGGGCGCTCCCCAGGCGAGGCAACTTTGTCCCCGCTTCTTGGACATCTCTGCTCTCGAAACGGTGCAAAGGTTTCTGCTCCGTTTGGCCAGTCGACCAGAGCTTCGTCCAGGGGCTGAAAGCTTCTGGAAGGCTGCGGGGATGGCATCCGACGCCCACTCACTTTGGGGCTCGGGTACCGGCTCTCTGCAGACTGCACGTCTGCACGCTCCAGAAACCTTTGGAGATGGTCTTGCCTGGCTTTGACCTGCTCAAGCACCAGCTGCAGCTCTCTCAGAGGAGCGCGCACCTCCTTCTCCAATGCCATCTGCAGGTCCAGCCCTAGGCCCATTGAGCTGATTCCAGCCTCTTGCACTGAACTCCTGTCCTGGAGGTCGAAGCTTCTGGGAAGGGGCAGATCCAGAGTGACTGAAGCCGAAGCCGCTTCTTCCGGGTCCCAGGCCACCTCTTTGAGGAGCCCGGTCCGGATGGGAAGCCGTCGGATGCGCTGCGTCAAGGCCGGAGGAAGCCTCATCTTAAGGCTTTGGGCCAGCTCGAGGTCCGCCTCCAACTCCCGCAGATGCCGCAAGAACTCGGACCTGGGGGCTGCTACGGGGGCCATGGGGGCCATGGGGGCCGGCGCTGGCCTTGGGAAGCGCGGGCAGCTGGGCCACGCAGGCACCGCCAGGTCTTGCGAGCTCAACTCCGTGGCCTCCCGCTGAGGAGCGGATCTCACGGCTTGGGCCGGCTCTGCAGGCGCCGCGTGGGCCGGGCTCAAGCTGCGCCCACGGGCCGCTTGGGCCTGGATCTCATGGAGCCGCTGCAGCTGGGAGCGCTTCCCGCACCTGCGAGCTGAGCATGTCGTGACTACAGAAAAAGCTGCACCGAGTTTCTGAATGCCAAGAGGGAGCATCTCCGTCGTCTGGATCCGGGGCTGCATGCCGAGCCTATCACGGAAGATCATGTGCATATGACTCCGTCAAGGCCTGTGAACATGGTTTCGGTGAATGCCTGCACTCCGTCGCATGGATCAGCATGTGCCGAAGCCATCCACTACATCAGGTTGGCAAACTACAATCATGAAACTGCAATGATGGAGCTTAGAATGGTCGCAGTCGCGCTAAAGCTGTTGTAGCTCTCTGCTGGTGCTGCCTGCCAGGTCGGTGAGAGGTTGGTCGCGCAGCTTGCAGGAAAGACTCCCAGACTTATCGTACACTGTGAGCCCTGGCTTACAAACGCCCATGCACACGGTGCCTTTCACGGAAAAGCCCAAACCCTACATCATGATTCACGAACCCTAAACCCTTAAGTCCTGACAAGGATGCTTCAAGCGGACCTTTGCTCTCGCCGAGCGTAATAATAGATCGGGGGTCTCTCAGTCCACCAACCCTATAAACCCCTACAACCTCTTTTCGGTAACGACCCTAACCGGGGGCTGAGGACCGCTGGGTGAAACCTTTCAGCCAAGCCAGAGCTGCTCAGCTCTCTGCGCGGCTTTTGCGCGGGCGTCTGAGGCCACTGGTGGCCATGGGTCCGGCCTCTTTTGCCTCAAAGCTCGTCCTGCCGGGGGTGGGGTTTAGGGCTTTCTGGCTTCTTGAGGGGGCATATGGAGTTCGGCTTTCAAGGGCGGAACGCTAAGCGCTCAGTTGAAAGTTCTCGTCGTAAACACCGCAGCAAGGGCACAGGACGACAGAGAATTTGCTGTCTCGAGCTGATCTCCATCATGATTCAAGCGATAATCCGTTCCGAGAACTGCCGGTAACTCTTGGCAGAGGGAAGACTTCGATTCGATACATGCATCTGCCGTGTAGCGCAACCAGATCAACAATCAGGCACTGTAAACCTCCCCACATCATGAAGTGGACAAGCCACCAAGTCAAGCGTGCTAGCCTTTGATCAGTCCTTGGGGAAGCAGCATCTGTCGTAGTTGAACACGCCATCCCAACCTCAAGAGAACTCAAGGCACACACAGTGGTCCGAGCCGATTCGTGCTGACTATCATGTTGTTGAGATGATGATGATGATGATAATGATGATGATGACGATGACGATGATGATCTTCTTCTCTCGCCGCAGAGGAGGGTCTGCATTGCGACTATTGGGCGATACTTATGGCACCCTCGTCCCTTGGCCCCGCAAGCGGAGGTAGTAAGAGTCCAGGTGCTACTGCTGCTGCTGCTGCTGCTGTTGCTTTTACTGTTCTTGATGATGGTGATGATGATGACGACGACGACGATGACCATGATGATGACGATGACGATGGCGATGACGATGACGACGATGACGATGATGATGATGATGATGATGAAGACGATGATGATGATGATGATGATGTGATGATGATGACGCTGATGGTGATGGTGATGATGATGATGATGATCATGATCATGATCATGATCATGATCATGATCATGATCATGATGATGAAAAGATGTGACTGCATGCACTCACACGCAGACAGGCACCCATGTACCGAACACATGTGCATTGCCAAGTCAAGATCGGTATGAACAACAACAGCTTGACACAGCGAAGCTGATCACGAGGGAAGTACAATTCCAGACAGTGTGAAGCCTGCTCGAACTGCTAGAAGCAGGCTTATGCCGACAAACACCAGAGCAGCAGCAGCAACGGCAGCGGCAGCAGCAGCAGCAGCACAATCAATTGCGACAACACCGACGACGACGACGACGACGACCACCACCAACACCCGACCACCAACACCGCCACCGCCACCGGCACCAACGCCGCCACCACCACCACCACCACCACCGCCACCACCACCGCCACCACCACCGCCACCACCACCGCCACCACCACCGCCACCACCACCGCCAGCATCTGCAATCATCACAAAAACATAAACAGCATCAGCTCACATAGTCAACCAGACCCACGAAGAACGCACTCAACAGCAACCGTGACAACTGCAAGCACAACAACAATGAGAGAACACTGCACCTCAAGACTGCAAGATGATCAGAATCGCCATAAGGAGCCGGCACTGGGCATTGCCACTCGGACCGAATTTCGGATCACAACAGGTGTCGTAATTGAAACCTTGGCTGTCATCAGAAGCCCAAACCACCAAGGACTCGTCTAGCGCTCACGGGGCATTGGTTGAAAGATCCTTGAAGGTTCATTCCGCACAGTCACAAGGTCAGAGCTTGAGTGCAGCAACCCCTCTCTTCGCGGACATGTAGACAATGTAGACGCCTGTTACACCCCTGCCAGTGGACCTAGACAACGCTTCAGGGTATCTCTGGTGCAGGGCTTGTCCGTGCGGGCCAAGGCCCCAGGCTGTGGCGAGACGCTAGCATTCTGGGAGGCCCGCCGTCTATCCAGCACTCCACGTTCCCCATGACGATGGCCTCATCCACTGCATGAGTACTTTAAACGTCGTAGACCTAGTTCGGAAAAGCACATGACAGCGGGTGTCCAGAACAAGCCTTTCAAATCGATCGGCGAGCTCAATCTGCACAGGTTTGCTCATCTCGCCAAATGCCCGGCCCTATCCAGACCTTGACCCCAAACTGTCAGTTTCGGGATCTTGCGGGTTTAAGGAGTCAAGGGTGAAAACCCCCATACCGGCCCGACAGATCCTGCTGCTCTGGAGGATGGCAGGCTCTGCCGCCACTTATCCATCCTGGCAACGTGTCTG